TACTTAAACGTTTAAATGTAGCTCAGTATTGTTACGTAAGACTGAATTTTCTAGAAAACCTTCCCACGGCTATAAATATAACCGACGCGCCACGCCAAGAAGTGTGTCTATTAGTAGTTATTTGACCAGGAACCTGTACAAGGTTCGAACATTACAAATTATTTAACTCCAGTGGATTCTCATCGGCCATTAGTACTTTTACGAAAACATTACCTAACTTCAACGGTGGAAAAGCTAGCGTGTGTGGTCAAGCTAGCTTCCCGGTAAATCGTACTTACATCAACTGGTAATCAACTCGCTCATCTTAAACCCTCAATAAGGTATCAAGGGAGTTCCAAACTAGAAAGAAGATTTTATATTACTTGTAAGTTTGTGAAACTTTTGTTTATAAATCTTTGTTTGTAATAACTATTTGTAATAATTGTTACTGCAAATTGTATTGTTGTGTATATTAAAACATGTTTGTGTTAAAAACGAAGTCTGTGTGTATCAATCTTGTTGGCACATATCGTAAATTGACTAATATATGGGCATATATGCAAATACTAAATCCAAAGTACAATTGAACTACTAAATTTAAATTATCAGTTAACTCGGCTTCGGACTATTCGAAATTCTAATTCGTAACACCGGTCATTGAAGTAAAGTGTTTGACTAAGTAAGAATTATACATATGAATTATTTTGTCATCCATTAAAATTCTGATATTAACTAGAAATAAACGTAGACAAAACGAAAACGGTCGATGGTAAAAAACCCTGACATTGCTCTAGGTTAAAGGAAACATGTTGAAAAAAACAAGATTAGCGTATAAAAAACAGATTTTCAATAGAATAATGCATTAAAAAATTAGAACATAAACATTTGTCATGTTATATTCGAACTGTAGTATACTTACTCAAATATTTGAAGTCGAAGTTTCACCCTTTTCGTCCGCCGATGAGACAGTTGTAAGTTTACGGACTTACAACGCTGAAATTCGGGGTACTATTTCCTATTACCCGCGGCAGAAACAGCAGATAGCCAGAAGTGGCTTTGCTCTAAAGAACAAACAAACAAATTCACCCTTTTAGCTTCATCAAGAGGTTTAATGATAAGCAAAACATGCGATTTTTGCCTGAATTACTGAATAGATCTTCTGAAAACGAGAAAGCGTTTGTTTAGTGTCCAATTTTCTATTTTTAACCTATTATTTAGATGTGTTTGCTTTTTTCTGTGGTTTCTACACACATAGTAATTAAGGATTTGGATTTAAAAAAAAATTATTATTGTTTTTTTGTCAGAATGTTTAGTTTCGTAATCATTATTACAGTTTCTTAGAATCCATTGGACGTGTAATATTCTCAGCTGTTAAATCATCCATATGAAGGGGTTTTTCGATCATGTCTGGGCTGTCTGTATAATAAACATAATACTAAAGAGATGTAATCTTATTTGGTAGAAAGTTTTGTGCAGTTCACAGTTTTGCTTTAGTTTCTCCATACTCGTGATCCAGCCGTTGAAGTAATCAAGAAATTATCGATTCAACAGCTTCTGTTATCAACGGATTATGGAAAGTATGCACAGGAAGTATACAAGAAAATGAAGTATCTTCATTAGTCTGGACTCTATATACATAATACGCTTGCATTTGTATGTCATGATATTTTCTCGACCAAACGCTGCATATTAGCTTTTTCATTCAGAATTACCTTACCTGTTTTTGTTTTTTTGCTTAGTCAAACTTTTTAATATAGGGGAGATAGGCTTTATCGTGATGTGTTAAATACATCTATATAAATGATACGTTTGCGTTTGTCTGTCTGGAACTTTTTTCGATCAAACGCTACAAATCTCATATCGTTAGAAAGGCCTTTGTCCGAGTAGTACCGATTGCATATTGGCTTTTCAATTCAGAACCATCATACCTGTTTTTTGCTTAACCAAACTTTTTTAATGCAACGAGTATGGTACACAATGGCACAATGTCGTTGTCATCACGTAACGACTGGCTTCGATTTCAATTTCAGTTTGTTTTTTTATTTGCAAAGTATTTCACATAAACAACACTTAACCCGAGTGCAATTTCCCCCCAAAATGATTATTACACTAAATACAATTGATAAGGGCTTTCTCGACATATTTAGGTCTAAAATACGCATGCGCAGTTCGTTGAAAACCATATGCTTATCACTTTGTAGACACACATTTAGACGTTTCTGCATAATACGATAAGTTTGCTTTCATTTACTTTACTTTGCAATAATTTATCTTCATTTCGTATCATAGGTTACTATAAACACAGCTGAGCTACATTTGTCTTTAGTACGGGTTTTATACAATAATATTGAAAGAGTCGATTTAACTGAATTATTTGTTTATTTGTTTGTCTGCGCTAGCCGTTCCTAATTTAGCAGTGTAAGACTAGAGGGAAGGCAGCTAGTCATCACCACCCACCGCCAACTCTTGGGCTACTCTTTTACCAACGATAACGCTGAAAGAGCGAGCATGTTTGGTGGGACGGGGATTCGAACCCGCGACCCGCAGATTGCGAGTCGAGTGCTCTATTTAGACATTCTGATATTTTTGTCAGTCGAAAACAGAATTAACGAAATCACAAAAAAAAGAAAAACTTGCTATAAATTGGTCTGATTTGTTTGGGTCACCCTGTATATATTAATCTTTCAAATATTAATACGTATTAGCTTCAACAAACAACTTATTACTAAAACAACGGTGTCATAAAGCTATAATACGAGGATTATAATGGATCACAACAAAATATTAACTTAATATTTTTTTAACTACCTACAGCATTTCATGAGTTTAAATGTTAGGTGATGAAAATATATGAATGCATATTGTAGCAGAAAGAAATCAAACTACCCGTGAAATTGATCAAAAACAGGTTCACTGGTAATCAAAGTTTGCATCTCTAATTCATTGGTTTCATTTTTTTATGTAATATACCAGTAATAATCCAACAACCCGGAATAGATTTTAAAAGAAAAAATATCTGCCATTTAAAATAAATTCTGCTGCATTTCTTACAAAATTTTGATGCACCAGATTTTGTATTATACTTTCTTTGACATATTACGTCTTTTACACTATAAACTGATAATCCTTCTTCCAAGGTTTGATAAAAGTAATCTCAGTGTTTCGAACACATACCTTGGTGTGTCATTGTAAATAAAGTAATACATTGTTATTTTATGTTTGCGTTCGTAAAATACGTTACTAAAAATATACAAGTTTAATATACTTGGATTGAGATAACAAATCCTTTATTTACTGAGGTATCATTTTAAAAAAACCAGCATCTATATTACGTAATGTTTCTGGTTGAACACATATTTTTCGGGTCTCTTTTTTTTTACAATATGTTTTCATTCCTTAAATAAAATCACGGAAAACGTTTGCTGTCTTGATCGAAAGATAATTTAAAAGATATTGTTCAAGACCAAATATACTGATCACGGGATTACTGGTTACGCTTAAGAATTGTGAGCATACCGTATGGGCCGGTGGTTCGCTGAAAGGACGTCTGGTCGCCCAATTTTATAGATCTGTAATTAAGAGGATCTACGCCCTGAGGAGGATAGACAATTTGGAAGGTTGGATTAGTTCGACGTATTGATCCCCGGCAAACAAATATGCATGAACCAAGCTCTAGTCCTACAGTTAATGCTGAGAGGTTGCAGTTATACGTGTATGCAGTGTAATATGTATCGTACAATAATCGCTTGGAACCACTGTCAAGAACTTCGCATTCAGTGCAAACGTTTGAAATTGAAGTTCAAGTACCAACATAAAATGACAATACAGAAGTGTATTAACAAAATTCAAGACTGAAAGAGTCTTTTTTTTCTACTGTTATTGTTTTAAATATGGATTGGAGTTCACCGATTTCTTTATAAGGCAATAAAGTAAGTAAAACTGAAGAGAACTAATGAAAATATAAGCTGAAGCGAGATTAAAATACTTTTTAATACCAATCTCTTTCAGACTCGAGAAACTGTTCACACGAAAGTTTTATATTTAACACGAAACAAACTATTTTTGGACGCTTACAGGTTATTTTCATCAACTAACCATTTCACCTAGAAAGAAATGCGTAGTCGTGACAGTTACTCCTCTCCCCTATTAAAAAACAACAATTTTATTTTTATTTGGTTTTAAACCGGAAGCTATAATGAGCTCGCTGAATCTGTGCTCACAGCAGAGATCAAGCCCCACATTTTATCGTTATAAGTCCTCATGTTTACTAATGAGGGGCACAAAACGACAACAACAACAACAAAGATACGAATACCAACTAGACAATATTTATTTTTTGCAAATAGTCAGAAAACAATTCGGGGTATAACACAAAGAAAATTTGTTTGTTTTTTAAATATAGTAAAACCAAAAAATAACGTGGCTGCTTACTGATTTTCTGGAATACGTAATTAGGATAAACATCATAAAAATAACCAGAGTGTCGAGTTTTCTTTTCAACTCGACTCTGTTACATATAGGTTATTTTCAGCTTCTTTTCCTTTCTGGAATATAAGTTTGCTTAATCTAATTATTAGTTCAAGAAAATCTGGCAGGCTGCCAAAAATAAGAAAAAAGCCAAAGCAGAGAGAATTCGAAAAACAAATACCTAATGGTTTTTATTCATTTTTTCATTGTGGCCCCGTACAATAGCAGTGATGAATAATTAAATCATTAATAAGTAACTGTTATTATACGATGAGGGTTAATTCAAATCTACCAAAACTTTGTTCAAATATTATTGTTGTCAAATCCGATCAACCATTTATAATTACATATCAAAACGTTATCACAGTTTTGATTAACCATTTGAAACTTATAGTCTAATCATTTCCTGAAAATCATACTTCAAAAAAGAATTTTCCAGTAGAATATGATGCATGGTTTTTATAATATTTGGGTCTGATGATTTTTTAAAATGCTGTTTACCAAGCTAAATTTTGCGTTTTCTGCCCTAAATATTACCAAAAACAAGATGGCTGCCAAATATAACACAAGTCACTGAAAGTTTTCATCTACTCAAAATAGGAAAATGATATATGATTCTTTTCTAATATTTTAGAAATTATTAAGTTTACAAATGAGGTTGAGCAAATACAAATACAAAACAGATCACTAAATCATTTCTAATCAAGATAATGTGATGATCTAAAGCTCCTTTTAGAGTGTTTAGACGTCAGGTAAATACACTGCAACCAACAAATAACACGTTTTTTATTTAAAAGAAGGTCAACATATCCAGACAAAACTTTAGCTTCAGATCATTCAAGATGTAAGTATAATCTCAGAGCATACTTCGATACTTATACAATTATAATCCAATGAAATACAAAATGAATACTTGGATTAACATTTTAAGGTCTGTTTCCAAAGATCAAGGTCATCTTCTTAAGATTAAGACTACACTTGTGTAAATTTTAAATAACACAGATGCTTAAAAATCCAATGCGTGTTTTGAGAATAAATAAATAAAATAAAAATTTAGGTTTAGAAATAACGGATATGATTAACCTTGTTGAAGCATGTGTTAATTCATTTTTTCAAATTAATGATAAAGTGTATAAACATTCAAACCAAACTTCACTTATACCTGGTTTATCTTGTCAAATAATGCAACAATTTAGAAAACAACAACAAAATATCTTTTCAATATATGAACAAGCAAGATTATTAATATAACTAAAGATAAAACTGATTTCAAGGAAAAAAACTAGTATATACAAAATAACATGTCAAGGTGAGAATACTTATATAGGCCAAACTAGATTAAATTTAAAATACAGAATAAATGGACATAAAAGAACTGTTATAAATAATAATACAAAGATTATGCTGAAGATACTAAGCACATGATTCAACGATAATCAGTTCACATCCAGTATTTGGCTTGAAGATATTAAATTCATGTCTTATAGAACGAAAAATATGGACATTATACAATATGTCTCTTAAAAATCGATTGGTTGGCATGATTTTTGTATTATTTCTTCTGTCAACATCCACATAGACTCAAGGGGATCAA